GAGAACGCAAGCTCACACGCACCACTCAGGGGCATCCCTAAATACGTTCATTGGCAGGGTTCAAGGTTACCCAGCAATGAGTTTGCCAACTGCACTACTCGTCGACTACTACTTCACCGTCAGTTTGCGTGTAAGCAGCCAACTGGACACACGAGTAGGAACAAAATATTTGTTCAGTCTAATTCTACGGAATGTGAAGCATTCCAGTGCAACCCAATTGTGTTGTTTGTTTGCATGTGATGCTTGGAATGCTTTTTGCTGGTACCTGCATTGTCGCATCGATTATTCATTTATGCACCCACCCGTATAAATGCGAATCCTCTAAATTGTAAACGCAATATTTGCAAAATTCGATTTCTTTTACACGAGTGCAGTGCAAATGATTTAATGTGTAATTGAAACACAAATAAACTTGGTGGAGAGGCGTGTTTATTTCAACTGTTTTCTGCCGAAAATTTAGTGAATCACGTTGGTTTACACTAGCTAATCCGATCACTTCAGCCTCCAGCACACGGTTCCCCCTTCCGCATAATGTCGTTAGCCACGCGGATCCTCAACTCCCCCATCATTCACACAAATATTTATCTTGGAGTGTCCCCACACCTAGGTCTCGATGTTAGCGCATGCATGACCCACACATCCGAGGTATAAATATACACGCGCAAACCCCACAAATGACCCATCGACACCAGCGTGGTTGAGCTCGGAAGTAAACAGTTGTGTCCACGTCCTCGCCGATCTTTTTTCTCATCGCGGGTATCAGGGAAGCGTAATCGGACCAGGGTTAATTCAGTGGTCCCGGCGTGGTTCAAGGCCACATGCTGGGGCTCACAGCAATTGGTGACCCCGATGTGATGAAAGGTTCTTCAAATTCCACAACAAGTCGAAGTGGAGTTGAAGCGAGGAGGCATTTTAAGGAAGGCAATTGCCGTCCATATTTGAATACTTAAAAAGCTTAAATTGTCTTCTAAGTAATTAATATATCTTCAAACTTTGGTTAGATTATATTACTGCTGGATTAGAGAAAAATCAGTCTGCATGTACAGTGGCAAGAAAATTAAGTTAAAGGAGGACAATAAGTTAGAAAGTCATTCGTCATCACCAATGCTGAATTTGGGCTGCTCTGCTGAGCCGAATGCGGGGTAGTCTCGTGGTGGTAGGGGTCCTTGATTGACACTGCTCAGATTAGTGGATGATGTGTCGACACGTCCAGGCTTAGTGACCTCCTTATTGATCGCTGTGTTGGCAGCGGTCTCTTCTGCTCTTTGCTTTTCATCGTCGCCATCTAGGTCTAGTTCTTCGTGGTGTCTGTGCCTCCTGTGTCTCAGTTGGCGCATCGCTCGGACCTTCGAGCGCATGACACCCAGGAACTGATTCTGGAATGGTTCTTCGTGCCGCCCGTTATCGATCAGACTTGTTCTGCGCCGCCATTCCGGGTTGACAACAACTTCGTCGCTGTCGGGTTTAGTGGATGGATCAAAATTCACTCGTCGTTCGCCATGTTCTTCAACTGACGCCGAAGACTGCGCTGCAAGCGAAGTGGACGAGTCGAAGGCGTTCTGTGAGGAGAAGTAGTCATACAGACGTTGATCTGAGTAATTTGCCACTAGAGACGGCAAATGGAGCGCTGATTCGCCACTTCCTGCGAGATGCTTCTGTCGAATGCTCTCCGGAAGGCCTGCGAGGTAGGTTGATGACTTTGCTGGCTTGATTGTGGCGTAGTGCAGCTTCAGTGCTATGGTCTCGTAGGTCTTGACGATTCGCTCGTCATGTGTCTCCGGGTTACGTTGCAGCCAGTGGCGAATGAAACGGTCGTCTATACGCGTGAAAAATACTCTTGTGCGGTTTCGTCCATTAGAACCGACTATCGCCTCGAGTCCAGCTAGGATGTGATCGATAACATTGCCATTGAGATCACGGAATATTGAGAGTTCTTCGTTAACAGCAAGCTTTATACGGAACCATTTAACCAACGGCTTCATCGTTAACCCCATGAGGCCGACTGTGAAGAAAATGATGAAGAGAGTTGCCGTAACAATGATTTTCCGAACGTCCTTTCCATCGATTCCCAGACCTTTGTGGTCGACCAAGAGACCCAGGGAGAATGCAACGGCTCCTCGCAGACCTCCGTAAATTAAAATGGCTTGCTGCCTCAATGTGACGCGTAGGCTGTTCAAGTTAATCCAGTTGATGATGAAGGTCAAGGCAAAGACAACAATTGTTCTTGCAACTAGACAAGCCACCAGACCCCACAAACAGAAACCAGTGTTCCATTGAATTTCCGCAGAAAAGAGTTGCACTCCGATGAGGAAGAAGATGAAGGATTCGCCAATTTCAGCGATCTCCTTGATCATCGTTCGAACGGTGGTGAGCGAAGAGGCAGAGATGTTGTGGAAGGCGTAGTCGGCCTGCACGAGGCCACAGCCGATCATGGAAATGATACCAGACCATCCCAAGGTCTCGCCCATGATGTAGGAGAAGTACGACATCAGGAGAATAAGGAAGGCCCCAAAATGACCGGTCCAGCGAGTGAAAAAGCTGGTTATCACACCGATGATCACCCCGACAAGCAGACCCCCGAAAGATATGGTAAAGAAGGAGCCGATGCCGAGCCCAACTTTGGCTCCGTCTACGTTGGGATCCCCCACAAATTCACTCATAATTCGATAAAGCACGACGGTCACAGCGTCGTTGAGGAGAGACTCACCGAACACCATGTAGTAGAGTCCCGGTTCAACACCAATGTCCTGGAAAATCGCCAACACCGCGACTGGATCCACGGCCACGATGAGGGATGCAAAGAGAAGGTAGGAGTTGAAACTGATGGGGATCATGTTGGGTCCCATTGCGCCGGCCCTGTGGAGCCCGTACATCATTGGACCGATGATCAGGAAGTTGAGCACAGTCCCGATGACGGCGTAGATGAGAATGCTTCCAAGGTAGTCGAAGAAGGTCCTGTTGTAGAGGCTGTAGGCGGCTTCCAGGACAATCGGCGGCAAGAGGAAGTGGAAAAACATCTCCGGTGTCAGCTTCCACAGAGTCTCGTCGAGTTCCTTGTGAGATACCTCATTAAAAATTGCTCCGAAAATGACTCCACATACAATGAGGAGCAAGGACTGTGGTATGTACTCGGGAACAAACGGAATTTTCGGGTAGTACATCTTGAAAAGAGTGACACACAGGAGACTCAGCATGACGGCAAAGTAGATTTCAAACTCTTCGAAGTGCCACGCGGCAAGCTTCACACCTCCTGATTCCTCGGCAGTGGCATTTGGAGTTGTTGCTGGCACCGCTGTCTGACAATACAGTGAGACTGGATACAGCAGCAGACACAGCAGGGAGGTCTCAATTACAACACGTTTCAAAGCCATTGTTTCATGAGTTTTCGTCAGATAGACCTAAGTGGATGAGATCTAGCCTTTATATAAGGTTAGAGAGCAGCCTCTCGCTAATTTGCGCGTTGAAATAATAAGCTACTGGGTGTTATCGCGTGTTGGCGTCGCGTTGAAGATAATTGGTGGATACTTAAAGGTCATTGGATAAATTAAATTCGTGCGCACGTATTCGTCAGCCGATGGAATGCTAGCAAGGTCAAATCATGCCGCTAAGCGGCATGGATGTTGATCGCGCACAGGCATGACCTGTCCCGCCACACTCTCCGCTTGTCAACTGTAAGTTGAGGGTGGATTAAATAACACCAACAAGCATTGTATCAACTCACCGTCGTATTCAATTTGCACACTCACATAAACGGAAACAAGGAGAATAAGCGTACTTACTTGTCTTATTTTGGTAAATAATTTGTTTTGAAGATTACTAATGCCAAAGAATGTGCTTTTGCATAAAGAGAGCGAAATCTGAACACACGTTGTCGGAATTGATTTTCGAGAAAATTAACGACTGTAAAATTCCGGAAGGAATGAGGCAATTAATTATGCTAAACAACAACAAGAGAGGCTAACGATGGAATTTTTCATAGGCAATGGGAAAGATTTAATCATGGCAAAGATATTCAAACGAGGTGAAACTCATAGCGAGGCTAGAAGGATAACGTTGAAGTGGCTGCAGTGTGTCCACTTCACCAGAAAAGGGCCACTAAGGCAGAACAGTTTGCGTTTTTCCTCAA